TATAAATGATCCACTTTATAAGGTGAGGGCAATCCTCCCCTAATAAGCCGGTTTTATTAGGTGGAGTTAGGCCCAAAATCCTTTCTAACAATTATCAACTCTCGTCGAAAGAAAAAAATGTGAATTATTGCATCTAGTGTAAGTTTCTCTGCCACTCAATCTGTATGGTTTTTTGCATGGAACTTAAACTACCTTTTCCAACCAAGAAAGAAGAAATTCAATAGAACTGTAAATATTTCCTGCTCTGCTACATAGTCCAGTACAGTTTTTCCTTTGTGGCCGAACTCTTTTTGTGATGGCTCTAATTTCAACAGTGAAATGTCCTCGCTATCAGACAATTAATCATGGTTTCTCATGATTGTCCAATCTCAATTACTTCTCCCTGTCCTATCAATTTCCAAATAAATGAAATAAAATTTATTATTTTATCTTTCTTCATATTTGTTTAATACTGTGGAGTGCGCATTTCCATAACCTTTCTCCTTCCAGGCTCAGTATCATGACTGGATAAGACTTATGGAGGTCATTTCAAGATATAAGATGTACATTGAAGTTTCTCATTTGAGACCTACAGTGCCTATTTCAGAGAGTGCCACATTATGGTGGCATTATGCAGCTCAAGCTGGATTGCAGCAGAAAAAAATGTGGTAATTTTCATGAATAAGTACAAATAGATGAGTATTGCTGTCTATATTTATGTTTGTGAATGTAGAAATCTGCATAATCTATTTGATGTTTATTTATTTTATTCCGAAAGTCGAGTAGAAAAAAAGGGTAACTTACATATGTATATCCTGGCAGTTATCGATTTTCTTGGGACCAAATCCAACGTCTATGTCATCTTCGTCGGCTCTATGTGCAGTTGTATGCTAATTACTTGCAGCAGTTACTGAATCTTGATAATTCGGAGATTAGAGATATTGAGAGAGATCTTGATCCTAAAGTTATTCTATTGTGGAGGTATGTCATTGAAGTATAATTTCTGTGTAGTTCAGTGAAAAATGGGATAGAAGTAAAAAATATTTATGCAAGAATAATGTACACAGTACTTCTAGCTCATACCTGCTTATCCATTTATGTAAATTGATTCATCTTATTTATTATTATCAAAGGGATGTGGTGTAATGCATTTGATATCTATATATTAAGATGCTGATTTTTAGAAGTACTTAATGTTCCCCCCCCTTTGGGCTGCATGTGCCTGTTATGGCCCTGTTTTTGATAAGTGCAAACTCGAGTGATGATGTGGTTCCTGATTTTTTTCATAGGTTTCTTGCCCATGCTAAGGTCAAATCTGTTAAGTCGAAGGAGGCAGCTGAACAGAGGATGGTTAGAAAGAGAACCTGGTTTTCTTTTAGATGGTCTGTTGTTCCACTCATTAATTGTTTTCTTGCTGTAGCTTAACTCTTCCTTTCATGCTATATATCTCTCTCTCCCCCTGAAATGGATCAATGGCTTTCATAAACGCAGTTTTAATAATTTCAGTAATTGCACAGAAGGTGTTTCTACCGTTAGCACATGATAAAATGCGTACTATACATAAATATCATCATTTCTGGTTTTAGTTCAAATCTTATTGATGCCTGTTTGTCATCTTCCTTTTATTGTTGTATCTTGTCGCCTCAGGGGAAATCCTTCTGAGGAGGACTCCGCAGAGAATTCTGCAATGGACACTTCATCTCTGTCAGTAGAGGAAAGATTGAGTAAAGAAGAATGGGAAGCAATCAATAAAATACTGAGCTACCAGCCAGATGAGGATTTGTCATTACATGTCAGGAAGGATATACAGAATATGATACAATATATGATAATTGTATCTATCAGTAAAGTGGCTGCCCGGATCATCAATATTAACCACACTGAGATTGTTTGTGGTAGATTCGAGAATCTCCATATATCCACTAAGTTCAAACATCGGAGCACCCTCTGTGATGTAACACTAAAATATTATGGATTATCTGCTCCTGAAGGATCACTTGTGCAGGTTTGTGTTCATGCATTGTAATGTTTACAATGATTTCATTGATTTGGAAGAGCAATAGGAGGATAATTTTAGTTCTGCATCATGTTTCAAAAACTTTTGACACTTTCCCATCTCTTAAGATTTGGAAAGCAATAGAAGGATAATATTGTGACTGAAATTTTCAATAAATACATTTTTGTTTATGAAACAATCAACTTATTGCTATTTTTCTCCTATAGGCGAAACAAGCATGTTTTCTTTGGATATGTTGAAACTAAACCATTATTTAGAAAGAGGAATTGGCTTGCTATTTTGTTTACTAGGTTTTCATTTGGTTTCTGGAAACGTTTTTGCAAACTCTTGACAAGTTTCCATTTCTTATTGAATGAGTCACCACTACCCCCACATTAAAATATGGGGAATGAATTTATGACTTTCGCATATGTTGGTGCTAAATTGTGAATATAGGAAGCTTATAATGTTGACTTGGGACCACGCTAGGAGTTCATTCGACTTTGTTGGTTTTATAAGTTGGATACTATCGTTATCTAACTTGGAAATGGATATTTTTTGCAGAGTGTCTACAGTGAGCAGAAGGTGAATGCATTGGCAGCTAGTTTTGTGCACACACCAGCTGGAGAAAATATAGACTGGAGGCTTTCAGCAACAATTTCTCCCTGTCATGTTACGGTGATCTATTTTAATTTTTCCGATCGAGTAAATTAATCTGACTAAATTAATGTGACTATTATATTTAAAAACATGCAGCAGATCCCGTTTTCTTGTTATTTAGAAGGAAAAGAATGAGAGCATTTTCTGATGTTAGTTCATGTTGTGGGAATTCTGTGGCTAACTGTTTTTCTTTCTTCTCAATAGACTTAATCTTATAATACACTTTCGGATATGATACCAATATATTTCTTTCAGCTACCCACCAAGAGTTGGTCTTCAAGAGTTTTCTTGAGGAAGGTTGAAGATATAGCCTTCCATAGAAAACTTACCATATCAAAATTTCTGGAACTTTATTAATGAAATGTGAATAGTGCCAATTATTGTTAATTTGTGGCTCAATTGTGTTATGTGCTCAAGACATAGTTCGAGTACCCTAGTTATTGCACAAATGTAGAATTGCTTACGAAACGAGCGAGAATTGCAAACAAAACCTGTAGTGGTGTTGTTTTAACAAAGATACATTTACTACTAATGATATGAGAAAAACCTTAGAAAATGTTTTTTGTATTTCAAAATAATGAAGACAAAGCAATATAAATACAACTACCATACATGACATAATTTTTTTCATCTTCCTTGTACGAACTCTTAATTTCCCTAGACTCACCTTTTTATAACCACCCCTTCATTTCCTCTACCTATTTACAACTTGTTACCGTCATTAACCTAAATAAATAGGCGATTAATAATACAATATGTATGCAACTATCATAAATATGAAGAGCGTGTTTGAGCCTCTCTTTTTTTGCCCAAAATACATTTTGGAATAGTATTTTGATGGATAATGTGTGGTTAAAAAATAAAGAAAAGTTTAGGCTTGCGCACAATATTTTATTTTATTGAAAAATGTATAGTTAAAAATAAGATTTTGAAAATAATGGGGACCAAACAAGGGCAAAATGAACTATTAGGCATAGATACTCTTATTAGGGTGGCTTGTTCATGTCCGACATATGTTGTGTTATGTCAGACATCGACGCTCATATATTTTCTTTATTATGTAGTAATAATATATAGAGCTTGTTTGAGCCTCATTTTTTTCTTAAGAATGCATTTTGGAATAGATTGATAGAGAACGTGTGGTTGATAAATAAGGAAAAGTTTTGGGTTTGCGTGTAATATTATTTTATTGAAGAATATGTGGTTGAAAAGAAGAGAGAAAAATGTATTTTAAAAATAATGCGGATCAAACATGGGCACAGTTTGACTTGGAGTTATTTTCATATAACAAATATTTACTCTTCTTAATTCTCTTAAAAAAATTTCACTGACAAAAATCAAAACTAAAAAATTATTGATTTTATTCTTGTAAAGGTACAATTTGAAAGAATTTAAATTGATGTCCCTAGTGTATCTTTGTCGTACTTTTTTGGAAAATCAAGGTTCAGCATTCCGTGGCTGTGCTTAGGAAATAAAGATCCTATAGTAACAAACTTTCAACCCTCCCGTCAAGCTGGATCATAGATATCGATGGCGCTCATCTTTTTAATAATTGCATCAAAAGTGAGAGCATCCTTTCAGTAATGTGTCTGTGAGTTGTTTTGTAGTCACATAAGACTAGTAATAAGCCCTTTGTCAGTTTTTTCTTTGATGAAGTGCCAGTCAACTTCATCATGTTTGACCATGTTGAACTGTATTGTGGGGGATACTAATTGCAACCTTATTCTCACATTAGATCCTCATAGATTCTTTAGGAATTCCGAGGTCACTGAGAATAATCCTGATCCACAAAACTTAACAAATTCCATGTGCTATGGCTCTAAATTTGGCTTCAGCACTAGATCTAGCTACTGCCAATTGCTTTTTACTTGTCCATGTTACTATGTTCTTCCCACAAATGTATCCTAATATCGATCGTCTATAAAAAAATAGATCCATCCCAATCAGTGTCATTGTATGCTTCAACTTGTAAATGCCTGTTTGGTTTTTGGCCAATAACACAACCTAATCTCAATGTATGCTAGATTGTAAGGGAAAACATGATATATTTGCTGTATACCTCATTTTAACCTAACTTACATGAGAATTGACCTTAGTTAACCCCAAAAGTTGGGAGTTGGAAACTTTAATTGTCCAAAGATAAAGTTTAGCCCCTTAACTGGCCCAAAAATTATTATTTCCAAGATTGGACACCTTGACCCTGAATAGCTTCAAAGACAAGATCTGCATGAAAATAATATTATTTTTCTACCTTCGAGTGTTATCGTTCGAATTTGTCAGTTACATGAAGATGGTGAATTGTTTGAATGCAACACATGTATCCACACACACTATTCCCTGTAACCTGTTCTCCCTAGGCTGTAGTTTCTACACTATATCTTTTAATGCAATGTAACTTTGCAGTCCGGGGATCTTTAAGAGTTTTCTTGCTCTTGCTCCCTTTTCCTCTTTGTTCTTGTCTGTTTCAACTTAGGTATTCATGTTAAATGCATTTCTTTTGGCAACTATTTGTAGGTTTTCATGGAAAGCTATGATCGCTTTTTAGACTTTGTGAAGAGGAGCAATGCGATTAGCCCTACTGTTGCATTGGAAACTGCAACTGCTCTGCAGGTCTAATTTTGTAACTAACATATAATGATTTTACTATACTGAAGTAGACCGATTGCTTAGGTATTCACTTTCCTGGTAGAAACTAACATTCATCAACCAATGACTTGGGCAGCATAAGATTGAGAAGGTTACTCGGAGAGCTCAGGAGCAATTTCAACTGGTTTTAGAAGAGCAGTCCAGGTTATTAATTTTCATCATCTGCTTGAACTGAAGACAAATAATGAACTTTTTCTACAATTGGTTTTGTACTTGATCTCCTTAAAAAAATGTGGTATTGCTGTCTAGATTTGGGTTCTGCAAAAATTTGTCTTGCAATGCTCTTTGCATTTGGAGATCAACTGAGTGCCTTTCAATCGTTATGATGTTCTTAAAAAGTTGTCTTGTCCTCAGCACTTTTTGTTTCTTTTAGATAGCTTTCACTGCAAGCGCAAGCTCTTTACTTGATTCGTCTCATTATTATATGAGACTAAATCTTCCACAATAACATTGTTGGATGTGTTAGAAGTTCTTGACTCTCTTTCTGGTAATAGCTTCTATGATTCCAAATTATAAGAAATCATATAGAGTGAAGAAAAGGCTACACAATGATATTGTAGGACTGGAGGTGCTCACAATGAAAATCTTGAATTAACTCAAAAGTAAAAAATAGGATCCCAGCAAAAAGGAAAGAGAAGTAATAATTGGATCTGAAGTATCTGGTTACCCGATTGTAAGATTTTTGTTTATTTATTTTTCTTGGGAGATTGGTTATATCAGATAAATCTGTGTAATGTTTTCAAATCAAATCATAAACAGCTGGATTGAAAGTCTAAGGTGTTTAGTTACCGCAGTAATTATAATTTGAAATTTATGTTCTTACACAAATTTACTTGTAACAAATAGATATGGTTTCTCTAGCATTAGAGAACGTTTTGTTCATTTTATATTTGCTTGCTTTGTATTGGAAATAGTACTTCCCCTCTTATTACATCTTCATATGTTGCATCTTATTGCTTTTGGAAGGTCATGTTTACGCCTCCCTTCCTTTTGTTCATGTGGACTTTGTTTTTGACGTAGTACATAATAGTTTCCTACTACAATTGTGATTTATCTTTTCTAGTTCTAATAGGTTTTATCTTNTTTTTTAAATTATCTTTTCTAATTTCATTTTCTAATTGTAATAGGTTTATTCTTAAATTTTATTTAGATTAGGATTAGTTTATTTCATTTTAGAATTTAGTTTCCTTATTTTAATTTTCTTTTATTAATAGGATTAGGGATAATTTGACCTATAAATATAGGGGTATTGCACACTTTTTAATCAATCAATCATATATCAAAACAAAGCAAGATTATTCCAATATAATTCTGATTTTCAATTCTTATTATATGAATTTCATAATGCTTTCGCACAAATTTTTATATATACGGTTGGGGAATCCAAACCCCCATCAACATTCCCTTGTGGCTTCTGAAAACCCACTAAGGTTGTGTTGGTGTCTTGACTTAAAAAAAAAAAAATTATTTCTTATGGACTTGAACTTTATTTCAAACATTTCTTCTTCCCCTGCATTTTATTTAGGACAATGGTTATTTTAAGTGTTCTCTCTAGACATGGGCTTTAATAATTGATTAAATGATTAGTGAGAGAAAATTCCTATCCTTCAATAGTTTCTCTTCCCTTCAGTGCTTATTCATTTAGCCATTTAACAAAATTATTCTTTTCTCGTTGTCAGTAAACTAGACCACAAATTTGGAAATTCCATTGCCTTATCTACTTTTCTATTGACATAGCTATGGCATCGGTTTATTAACTTACAACATTATTAACCTCACATCACATTCACAACATTAAGCGACAAATAACAATAGCCAAATCAAGAAAACATGACATAAACCCTACCAGATGATTGCTAGAGTACCTCGTGTGTGATTCGGTACTCTTTTATTTTTATTTATTTTTTTAAAAAAAAGAAATTTATAGTCTGCATAATTGATTTTAATATTCTTAGCTCAACTTTTTTTTTTTTTTAATATTAATGTTCTAAGTCTTTTCTAGTGAATGTTAATTATTTTTTGTGATGTCATTTTAGGGATATCTATCTGTAACCAGTCCATTCTCTTAAGACTTGGCACTGGTACAAAATTAGCACTTCCGTTTGCTGATTTTTCTCTCTCTTAGGTTTGCTCTTGACATTGATCTTGATGCTCCTAAAGTGAGAGTTCCTATAAGATCGCGTACCTCTGCTACAAGCAATAGCTATCTTCTTTTGGATTTTGGCAATTTTACATTGCACACAAAGGTATTCTATACTTGTTCAGCTTTCGTATTTGCTTTTATGTTGTGTCGGATCCTCTTAACTTTGTTTTCTTGATTACAGGAGGATGGTCAGCTTAATGATCAGGGCCAGAGTCTATATTCTCGCTTTTATGTCTATGGGAGGGATATAGCTGCCTTTTTTACGAATTGTAGCTCTGAGATACAGTCTTCCACTTTGGCATCCCATCCTCCTGGATCTCCATGTTTGGAAGATGCTGAGAACTTCTATTCCCTTATTGATAGGTGTGGAATGGCTGTAATTTTAGATCAGGTAAATTTCACAAAGTACTTCATTTGAGTTTTATGTTAATATTGTAAGTTAAATTCATCCAGTAGAGGGTTTCAAAATTTTAACTTATAAAATTTTACTGGTTTTTAAGATTAAGGTACCTCATCCAAATCACCCATCTACACGTGTATATGTTCAAGTACCAAGCCTTGGCATCCACTTTTCTCCAGCCAGATATTGCAGGCTTATGGAGTTATTGAACATACTTTATGGTGCAATGCCTAATGCTGAGCAGCCTGCTGTTGGAAACATGCAAACTGAACTTGCCCCTTGGAATCCTCCTGATCTGGCAACTGAGGCTAGAATCCTTATTTGGAAGGTATGTCGAACACCTAGATAATGGCATATGCTATCCAACATAAGGAAATAAAATTTGATTATTCACCTATTTCACTTTGATGCAGGGCATTGGCTATTCCATTGCTGCATGGCAACCCTGTTTTCTTGTCTTGTCTGGATTGCACCTTTACGTGTTGGAGTCTCAAATGTCCCACAATTATCAACGCTGCTCAAGGTGCACAATTTGTTTCCTTAGTTCCTCTTTCTTAGTTTGCTTCTGCTATTTTCTGCCAAACGCTTGCTTATTTGGACATGAAAAACGTTTATTTTTTTTTCGTCACTTTTATTTTGTTCAATGTTATATTGTACTAATTGAGGGAATGCAGCATGTCCGGTAAACAAGTGTATGAAGTTCCGCCAATGAATATTGGAGGTTCAGAGCTCTGTATTGCTGTGAGTGCTAGAGGCATCGATACCCAGAAGGTAGGTGATGCTCGATTTCCGCGAGATTCTAATCACGTTATATTTTCCAAACATATCAGCGTACTCAACGGGCTATTCCCCTTCGCATTTATCATGTTCCCATATTTCCAATCTCTTTTTTTGCTTTGAAAATTCTGAAATTTTGCTAGAGATTTTTGAGATTCTCTGATTCTAAAACGAACATGGCAAAGAGCATTTAGGTGGGAATCAATTGACAATTGTAGGCTTCCAGCACTTGCCTTGCGTTTTGAGAAGGGTGTAAAGAAAATATATTGACATAACAAAAGAAAGGATTCATCGAGTTATGTGGAGATCACAAGAAGTCAATTCCTATCTATAGGGGAAAATTATCGAGCTTTTCTTGAACTTGCTTGTAAAAGTTATGTTATAGTATTAACAGTATGGTGCATTGCTAAAGCCTGAGTTGATGCTTAGTATGCACATGACTTACTCCTTGTTTTCCTTTTTCTATTATTAATTCTTTGAATGTCTGGGAATTTGGTGAATAGCTTCATATGTTGGTTTTTGCTATGAAAAAGTTAATGCTATCAAAGTTCTAGTTGACATGTTTTCTGTTTGCAAAAAGAAGTTAAAAAGGAATGGTAATTTACATATTTTAAATGCCTACGTTATGCTATAAAAGCAAATGACTCCTCTCTTTGGTTTTTTTGGTTCAAATAATTCATCAAAGGCTCTGGAGTCTTTTAGCACTCTGATTATAGAGTTTCCGAACAAGGAGGAGAAGGCGACGTGGTTGAGAGGGCTCATACAAACTACATATCGAGCTTCTGTATGATATGAATCATTGTACTTGTTAGTCATCTTCAGCTCTGATTTTATCGCTATCCAACATTCTAAGTTCATTTGTCTGGATGTAGGCTCCTCCTTCTGTTGCTATACCTGGAGTACCAAGAGATTATGAATCAAAGTTTGCTGAAACTCCAACAACTAATGCAAATGTAGCTGATCTTGTTGTCAGTGGGACATTGATAGAAACAAAGTTGTCTTTATATGGAAAGGTTAAGTTATCATATGGTCCCAGATTGATTTTATCTAAGTGCACTTGTGCTACTGTTATTTGATTTGTAGTTGCTTATAGTTCTCTTGCAATATTCTGTCCCTACATTTGTTTTATTTGCAGATGTTTTATTTTCTTCATTAAAAATTGAAGTTTCAGCAAATACTTCATCTTTATTTCCTTCATCATATCTTTGCAGGTTGGAGATGAGGAGCACGAGCGGATTGATGAGATTCTTATCCTTGAAGTCCTTGCTGGTGGAGGGAAGGTTTGTCTTTTTTGTTAGGTTGCCAACTTTCTGTGCATTGATTCTTGTCGACTTAGTGCTATTAGCTACGTTTCTTGGACTCGGGGTTGGGTGTCGGATACTGTTACATATCTAGGAGTCCGACCATTTTTTCCCTAAAATCTAGAATATGGGACTATGGCTAAAAATGATCCAAAATTTAGACACGCATAGGTGGATACGTCTTATAAACTTAAAATTACTTTAGAAATTTATATACTAATAATTTTTAGATGCATTTCTTAGGGATATACGTTTTATTATATTTATCTGTAAATCTATCACAAATTAAATTGCAAATTTTGATACTTCATATGAATTTTCAAGTCAGGAAATTCAAATTAGAAATTATTATAGATACAGTACCGAAATAACAAAACCAATATAAACGATCCCTCTTTTGATTTGAAGCATTCGAGAATGGATCCATACCCTTATCTTTATCGTGTTTTTGACATGGGTACTTCTTCTAAAATGGAGAGTTCAAGTAGCATTGGCTATTAGAAATCAAGTATTTTGGAGTCTCTGTGATCACACTCTTCCATAAAAAAATAAAAAAAATTATTAAACAAATATGATTACAAGAGATTTGATGGTCTTTTGATTTTCAACGGCTTCAAACATTGATCTCATTTTTCGATCAGGAATCTCAAGTGTCATGTAATTGGTTCTTACTGGTAAGATATACTTTGAGCAAAGACTTGCTCTCCTAAGAGAATGCCTAATAGGAAAATGGTTCAGCACATGGTTATCCTTTACCTTGTTGATATTGTATACCGATGTGTGTAATGGCACCAGAGGCCTTTCCATCACACGGCAATTTCTAGGAAACTCGTTTACCAGTACATGTCCAAAATTGACTATTTACCTGGATAATTGAGGTGTCCAGGTTGTCTATAAGATTGATTAAATTGAGCCTATGTTTGGTCATGTTTATAAACTGCTTATAAATACTCAAGTCACTTTATTTCCAAAGATTTTGAGGGACCTACAAGTACTACCCACGTATCCAGCACTCATTTATATCTATTTATAATTTAAACCATTGTACTCTAAACTGATAAATGAAGAGGTGATTATGCGGTTCACTAAGTAATTTGATATGGTTTAGGAATGGTAAAAATTGTAAAGAAGACTTCAGATTGAAACACGTTATCATCAGCTCTGTAGTCCGTTGTTTAAGGTTAATAACGAATGGGTGTTTTAGGCTATCTTCAGTGTCGTCAGCACAAGATAGGGTGATAATGTATATACAGGCCTTCAAGATACTCGTTAGCTTTGATGTCCTTCAAGATACTGGTTAGCTTTGATGTCCTAATGTGCATACTTACTCCTATATATAATAAGATGAAGAATGAAATCATGGCTAGTTAAACCATGAACTGTTCTGGGATCAATATTAAATGTGATATGAAGTTGGATCAGGTAAAAGAAATGAAGCGACTCAGTATTGGACTTCTATTTTGGGGTTTTGATTGATATGAAATCTGGAAACGATTATTGATGGTATTTTTCCATTTTTTTTTCTCGAAAATGAGGATGACGTGGTAAAATAAAAGGTACTTTTTAATAAGAATTTCGTACCCTGTTAAATCTGAATATTTAGGAGGGATTGTAATGAGTTACAGATTTTCTTGTCAATACTAATGAATATGCAAAAAGTGGAATCAAACGAAATCTTGTTCTAAATTCCAACTCTCCATCAACTTCTACAGTTTTAGAGACGGTACTTGTAAGGTGTGAAAAAATGCATTTAGATTTTTACCTTTGAGGGCATCCCTTACCATGAGATATGTCTGTTAATACGCAATTCGTCTTATCACTTTAGAGATGAATTTTGTTATGAGAAACATCTTTGTGGAAATATGATTTTTTTTTTTTTTTTTGAGATGAACATAGATGAAAACCCTTTTTTGATTTGCCCAAGATCTTTGGAATTTATTTATTTATTTCTTTCAGGTGATACATGTATGTGTTTAACTATTTGGTCCTACAAAGGTGAATGATTTTTGTTGATCATTTATATTAACATGTAGTATTTTTTGGCCTACATGGTTATGCATGAATAGTCATTAGGAATTTCATTTGTATGTCCTTTGGAACTTTATTGCATAATTCAGCGTCAGTAGATGATTTAAGAATATGATTCTTCCCTAATGATTTTCAATCTCACAACAGGAATATTTTTACATTTTTCTTGTAGGCCTATGATGTAGGACAATCCTATTGTAAATAGGATAAAAGACAAATAGTTATAATAAGATATCTTGTTGTAATAGGTTTTATCTTCTTATTTTTATTTCTTGTTTAGGATATGATTTCTTTTCTTTATTGATTAGAATATGATTTTTAATTTTTCTTAGGTTAGGATTTTATTTGAGTCTCTTATATTAATAGGATTAGGGAATAATTTTGCCTATAAATACAAAGGCATTGTACACTTTTTGGAATACATCAATTATTATTCAATATATGCAAAGCAAGATTATTCCAATATCATTCTTCTTTATTACACAATTCTTATTACAAGAAATCACATATGATTCCGCACCAGCCTATTTATCTATTGTTAAGGGGCCTCTCTTGTTTTTGTAATGTTCATTGATGACAAATTATCTCTGTGTTTGTTTGCAGGTACATGTCTCACGTTGTTTAGGTGACTTGACAGTAAAGATGAAGCTGCATTCTTTGAAAATTATGGATGAACTTCAGGGTTCTGCATCTTCACGTTCACAGTATTTGGCATGTTCAGTAACGACAGATATTTACTCTCTTCCATGCCCTAATATCTCAGAACCCCATGGGAAAGACCCTTCTATGGTGACAAATGAAGATGAAGATATCTTCAAGGATGCCTTGCCAGATTTCATGTCTTTACCTGATTCAGCTGAAGCAGTCCATGAGATGGATCAGTCAAAGGGAATTATTCGTCCTGCTGATGTTTTTTATGAGGCACTGGGCTCTGATGATTCTGATTTTGTCTCTCTCACATTTCTGATACGAAATCCTGAATGCCCTGATTATGATGGTATAGATACACAGGTAATTTTTTTTGAGAAAAACAACGAATGAGGAGAAAAATTGGAAAATCACCCCTTGGCTTTTGTTTGCTAAATTTATGTATTAAATAACTTTTCAGATGAGCATAAAGATGTCCAGGTTGGAATTCTATTGCAACAGACCAACTCTTGTTGCTTTGATCAACTTTGGATTTGATCTAAGTTCTGCAAATAGTGGGTTTAATGACAAAAATGAAAGAGATCCAGATGACGAATCTTCAGAAAACAAAGACAAGACAGAAGAACATGGGAGTGTATCTGTTAAAGGATTGTTAGGTTATGGTAAAGGTCGGCTTGTTTTTTATTTGAACATGAATGTCAATAGTGTGGCTGTGTATCTTAATAAGGAGGATGGTTCTCGACTTGCAATGTTTGTGCAAGAAAGTTTTTTGTTGGATATCAAGGTATCATAATCTCTTTTTCTTCAGTGAAGTTAAGATTATCTAGATTATGTATTATCTTAGTTTGTTTCTTCAGCGGAATCATCGGTTTTGTTTGTCCTCTATTCCATCATTTGAATTTCCTTGTCACTTATAATTATCATAGTGTTTTTGCTTTGAACAAGGTTTATCCGAGTTCTACTTCCATAGGAGGCACTTTAGGAAACTTCAGGCTGTGTGATCTGTTGCTGGGATCAGATCACTGTTGGGGTTGGCTTTGTGATCTACGCAATCAAGAAGCTGAATCCCTAATACAGGTATTTCCATATCCTTGTATAGATGCTGGTATTTCTGTTGTAATAAGTTTCTAATTTTGATCTATCTCTTCCATATCCATCTCCTCTTCAGTTTACATTCAATTCCTACAGCGTGGAAGACGATGATTATGAAGGTTATGACTATAGTTTGACTGGACGGCTTTCTGCAGTCCGTATTGTGTTTCTTTACAGATTTGTTCAAGAGGTAGCTTTTGACACTTTTTACCTTATTCTTTCTCAGTGTAGTCACTTTTTAAGCTGGTGTGATTTTGCATCTCTGTTAGTTACTGTTTCACCTTAGCTCTCAAACCTTGCCTTGTTCACTGCCAGAAAAAGTGGCTTGTTGCTGCCTGTACTCGAATACTAAAAACATTCTGGACCTTGACATTGAATTATAGGATCTTACAACCTACCCCACCAGACCTGGCGTGTTAATTTGTGTTCTCAAAATTTGAGATGGTACTTGCAGCTTGGGACATTCTAGAGATGGCGCTCACTGCACTCAATTTAGTGCACGTTTGTTTACACCTTTTTTTGGCTTCCATTTTGGTCCAGTTTTCCTGTGCTCTCGAGCTTATGGAGCCTAATATGCATTTTGGTTTCATATATCATAGAAAAGTAACACGGACATATCTGCTGTTGATTAATTTGTGTACTAGGATAGCACAGCCATTTCCAGATTTAAGGCTTTTTTTTATTTACAAATTTTTCCCTAGAAAACTGCCATTGTTGTGAGTTTTATCTAATAACTCATGGTAAATTTTCAATACTCTTGTAATTAGAATTTCTTTGAAGTCTAGTAAGAAACTTTATTTTTGATACTCTTCACACAGCTATTTAGTACTGAAGTGGAAGATATCATTTTACTTCTAGAATATGTTGATCAAATCTATGCTCGGAGACTTTCTGTCATCAAGTTCAAAGATGATACGTAACATGGCTTGTATCAAGATGTGGTCAAAAGTAGAAGGCTTTGGGGAGCGTGTACGAACTTGGTGGGCTTCTTATGATATCCTGGGGTCTCCCAGTTATGTATTGGATCGGAAGTTGAGGGCATTAAAAAGGGGATTTGGAAAGGTGGAATGAGGGGGTGGTGGGAAATGTGAATTTTTGTAAGGTCCAGTATCTCTCCGACATGGAAGAGCTAGATAAGATTGAGAAGGGTCGAGGGTTGGATGGGGAGGAGAAGGAGAGACGTGGTGTTTTAAGGGAAGATCTTGTAAGGTTGGTAGATATGGAAGAGATTGCTTGGCGCCAGAAATCTAGGGTCACGTGGTTTAAGGAGGGAGATAAATGTACTAAGTTTTTCCATAGGGTCGTCACTTCTAACAGGTGCAACAATTTTGTTACAATGTTAGAGGTAGAAGAGGTTACTTATGAGGATCCGTTGGATATTGGGACCCATATGGTGGGATTTTACCAGAATCTATATCGGGAGCAGTTTGAGTGGAAGCCAGAGTTGGGAGGGGTTAGAGTTTTCTTCTATCTCGAAGGAGGATGCCGGATGGTTGGAAAGACCATTTGGGGAGGATGAAATTAAGGAGGTGGTGTTTAGTACGAACGATGATAAGGCTCCAGGACCAGATGTGTTTTCACTCTCTTTTTACAACGTGTGTTGGGAGGTAGTGCGACGGGAGATTATTGATGTCTTCACTCATTTTTTTGAGCATTGCAGGTTTTTGAGAAGTTCTAATACAATATTTATTGTGTTGATCCCTAAGAAATCAGGAGCGACTGGTATTAAGGACTTTCGTCCTATCAGCCTTGTTAGTGGGGTGTACCAGATTATTGCGAAAGTTTTGGCAAATAGACTTATGGAGGTGCTTGGGAAAGTGGTATTGAAGTTTCAGAATGTCTTCATGAAGGGTCGTCAGATTTTGGATTCTGTCCTTATAACGAATGAATGCATTGACTCAAGAGTGCGCCAAGGAGTTCCAAGGATGCTTTGCAAGCTTGATATTCAAAAGGCTTATGATCATGTGAATTGGAGGTTCTTCTTGTACATGTTTAGGCGATGTGGATTTGGGGAGAAGTGGTGTAAGTGGATTCAGTTTTACATCTCTACTGTGTCATTCTCTGTTCTGGTCAATGGTACCCCCTGAAGGTTATTTTCGGAGTAGCAGAGGGTTAAGGCAAGGGGATCCATTATCTCCATTGCGGTTTGTGTTTGTCATGGAGGCCTTCAGTAGGATGCTCGAGAAAGCGAGGCTGGAGAATTTGATAAAGGGTTTTACGGTTGGTCAAGTGCAGGTATCCCACTTGTTATTTGCAGATAACACATTGATTTTATGTGACGCAGATGAGGAGCAATTCAGGAACTTACGTTGATTACTCCTTTGCTTCGAAGCGGTGTCTGGATTGAAGATAAATTTGGGGAAATCTGAGTTTATTCGAGTGGGGGATGTCATTAACGTGGAGGAACTAGCTGCTATTTTGGGTTGTAGGGTGGTGCAATTATTTATGTCATATCTAGGACTCCCTTTAGGGACACGGTTTAAAAGTATTAATATTTGGAACACTATCGTGGAAAAGGTGGAGATGAGGTTAGCGGGATGGAAGCGTATGTATCTTTCGAAGGGAGGCCGTCTTACTCTCATTAAGTCTACTCTTTCGAATATCCTTACTTATTTTTTGTCACTATTTCTGAATCCTGTTGCCGTGGCAAATAGATTAGAGAGGATTCAAAGGGAGTTTTTGTGGGCAGGGTTGGGAGAGGAGAGGAAATTCCATTTGGTCAATTGAGATGATGTTTGCTTTCCTATGAGGATGGGGGGCCTCCGATTGAGGAAGCTTATTTTGTTTAACAAGGCATTATTGGGTAAATGGTTGAGGCGATTTGGAGTGGAAAGGGAGAGTTTCTGGAGAGAAGTCATTGGGGCGTAGTATGGAGTGATGGAGGGGGGTTTGGGTGAGGGTCGTTGTTCCTATGGGGTGAGCTTGTGGAGGTATATTCGACGAGGTTGGAGCGACCTTCGGGACATATTGACTTTTGTGGTTCGTAATGGTAACAATATTAGCTTTTGGGAGGACTGTTGGTGTGGAGATATACCACTAACTTTCTTGTATCGCATTTATTTGGTCATTTGTTATGGTGAAGGATGTTTTAGTCATCCACAATGGGAGTTATAGCTGGAATATTTCCCTTTCAGAGGGGCTTGCAGGGTTGGGAATTGGATGATTACGCATTGTTTTTAAACCATTTGTATGATGTGCAAATTCGGGTTGGAGAGCAAGATCGCAGCTGATGACGATTGGCACAGAATGGTGTTTTTTCAGTTTACTCTTATTTTAGATCCTTCTTGGGACCTGTGGAGAGTTCATTCTCCTGGAAGACACATGACCACTTGTTCATTCAATGTGATGGTGTTTGTTGGCCTTGGAATAATATTTTGGCTTCTCAACATATAGATTGAGTGTTGCCTAGATGTATTGAGGACGTGCTGCGGGCATTGAGGAGAAAGCTTCGTGATAAGGATAGGAAGCTTGTTTGGAATTTTATACCGGGATGCATTATTTAGTGTGTGTGTGGAGAGAAAGGAACAACCGTTGTTTTAAAGATCAAACACGGACTGCAGAGCAATTTAGAGAATTCTTTTATCTGATTTTGTATAGTTAGTTTAATGCCGCAACTAGTAATTCTATAGAGGGGCTGCCTAACTTCATGTATTTTCTTTCTTGTTGAAGCTGATAATACACTTCCTGTGTATTCTTTTTAATTAATAAAATTATTTGATTACTTATCAAAAAAAAAAAAAAAATTGGCTTGTATCAAATTCACAGAAAAAACTTTTCCATAGAAGAGGCACTTCATACAAAGACTTAATCTACCATTTCCTTTTGCGAGAAACCATTTAGTTGAACCCGACCAATGTACGTGCATATGGAATTGCTTTTAAGTTGGCTGTTAGACTATACGAGTTACTCATCAAAAGTTAGATGGCAATAACCACCTTTCTGTTTAGTTCATTTTCTTTTTGCTAGAACTAAATTGTTCGTTTCGCTTATTTTATATATATTTGGTTCCAAAGTGTTGATAGTTATGGTGAATATGTGAATCTTCAGATAACTGCATACTTCATGGAGCTTGCCACTCCACACACTGAGGAAGCAATTAAACTCGTGGATAAAGTTGGAGGGATAGAATGGTTGATTCAGAAATATGAGGTTGACGGAGCCTCTGCAATAAAGCTGGACCTTGCATTGGACACTCCTATAATAATAGTTCCAAGAAATTCACTGAGCAAAGAGTTAGTAATCCTATCATTTTTTGTTAAATTACTTTGAATATTCGTTTATTCCTATTGTTCGGAAACAAGTAGATTTTAGGTTTTTATGTTAGCAGTATTGATATTATTTTGTCCTTTTGATTCTGCTTCTCGCTTCTATGGAGCCATGCAACCATTTTTAGGTGAATGGTACTTCATCTTGTATTGGTTATCATATTTTACCATCAAGTTTTGTTGGCACTTTAGTAGCACTAGTATAGTTTTAGAAGTTTTTTAGGTTGCCTGTGAATTTACAAACTTTATGAATTTCACTTATCTTCCTTCTCTAGCAGATTTTCATGTTATATTTAAGATTACTTTCATATTCATCCATATGTATAGGTTTTGTTTTGTTCATTTCTTATTCTTTCTTCATTTTACTTTATGTAGATTTATTAAACCAAAAACATATATAATGTGTGCTGATCATCTCAAGAGTAATGAGATTTCATTTAGCTTTAGAGGTACAATTTAATATATTTTCATAGCCACTCACAATTCTATATTGCGCTGTAGTTTTCCCGGTAGCTATGGCACATCCCGTCATATCCAAACCTACCCGCCCGCCACCCAACCCAAGTGCCGAGCATCATCTCCATCCTAGACCACCCAACCCTACTGGCCTCACGCCACAAATCTTCAGCCAACTTCTTGGAAACCCACGTGTCGCTGGAAACCCTAGCGAGCGACCTGGGCTGCAAAACCAGAATAGCCAAAAACCGGTCACTGCACCGCCTAACGCGCCTGACCGGCTGCCCCTGCAGACTGTTCCGACGCCGGAGAGGGAACCGCGTGGGCCACGCGCCGCTCCGGTACCGGTGCGTGAGGGCCACGCGCCGCCTGAAATTTCTGAAAATCAGCAGAATGCTCCCAGTTCTCCCAGCATGCCTAATCTGCCATCAGATGAGCCGTTTATACCCAATCTAAGGAAAAAGAGGGCGAATGTGTATGGTTTGGTATTTAATCGGCGTTTTGGAGTTGAGGCGAAGGAATTTGAGGTGTCCGTTAACGAATCAGGTACTGTTAGGATTAAAGAGTGGGGCTCGAGGATGTCGTCTACAATCTATATGGGGAGGTTTGGTGTGCTTTGGATGGTGAATTTGGTGGATAAGCTGAGAGTGGCCGGTAAATTGGAGGATTTTGTCTCCAAGTTTAACGATCCTCAAGAGCTTTTTTGGCACAACGTTGTGCGAACAGCCGTGGTCGATACTTAACGATAGCACAGTATGGAGGGGGTCGTCGGACGGGAGTTGTGATGGTGCCGGAAGGGATGAATGGAGAAGGATGGACATCATTTTCGCGGGTGTTTAAGGCTGTTGTCGATTCATTCGTTGCTGGAGACAAGGCTAAACGTCGAATGGTGGATGGTAGAATTCGACAAGGGAGGACTTATGCCGAAGTTACGGCTAACGTACAGATACCGCATAGTTTTGATCAACGGGGATTAGTGAGTAATGAAAGGATGTATAATGCGAGGGAGAACGACGGTCATCCTATGGCGCCTAAGCTTATGGAGACATTTACAGAAGGTTCACATGGTGGCCTATGGAACAGTGCTGCAATAAGGGCTCGCATCCAGACGTTAAAAGTAGAGTTGGATGAGTTAATCAGGATAGTGGAATGTAGGTCTGAGACGGGCCCTGGGACATTTTGCTGTCATAAGTGTGGAGTTGGTAGGGATGAGTCCCTAGCTAACGAAAAACTAATAGCGAACTTGGTTCCTATGGAGTTATCACCGAATGTAGAGCATACTAAAGATGAGGAGGGGGTGTATGAGCCTAATTGTAAGTATCAGGCAAGTACTGAAGTAGTGTATTCCGGGAACGATGATGGGACCAAAGTGGTGGGGTGGGATATGGTTGAGGAAGCTTCGAGGCTACCAGCTATTCGGAGGGAAGTCCCTTGGTCTAAGGAAGGGGAGTTGATGATGGTGAACTTGGAGTCGGCTATGGACACTAGTTCTTCGACGGGTGGATTACTCTCAGTTGAGCATGAGATGGCACATGTATTTGTTGAGGGATCAGCTTCAAGAGCCTTGAAAGAGCATGATGCGGCACGTGTGGCAGGTATGGTTGGGAACACTTATTACAGGAGACACTCTAAGTCCCCTAAAGAAATTGGATTAGGGAATGAAAAAGCTTTGGTGTTGTGGGTAAATGATGACCAGAAGGGGGGACCATTATCGAGGATGTACATGTGGAGGAGGCGGGTGGATATTCGTATGACCCATTAGAATGTTGTCTTGTAGAGGATACTATGAAGGTGAATGCGATTGAAGCTGGACCCCAACCTTCTAATTGGGTTCTCCTGAAAATTCAGGAGTTCAGCAAGCTGGTTGGTGTGTCTTGCGATGGTTATGAAAGTAGACTCGTACCATTATTTGAGGAATTGGAGGCTAGAAGGGGGCATGGGATGAGGACACAAGGAGGTAAAGTAAGAAAGAAGGGAATTTGCAAACTTAAGCGGCTTGAATGGTCAGTAAACTATGAAGCTAAAGGTGGCGAGTCTAGGAAAGGATTGTTGGGGAGGGATGACGGTGCATTTAAATGACCCCAAAACTTATCAGGTGGAACGTGAGGGGGCTCAACGATGTTAGGAAAAGGTTAGGGGTTCGAAATTTGTTAAGGGGATGGAGGGCGGACCTGGTTTGTTTACAAGAAACTAAGATGGAGTTCGTCTCGAGGGCTATCGTTAGCAGCTTATGGGGGGGACAGCATGTTGGTTATCGGTCTTCAGGGGCTTCGGGTGGAATGTTGGTCATGTGGGACACTAGAGTTCTTGACATGGAGGATGTCAGTGTAGGATTTTACTCGTTATCGCTTTCGTTTAGGAATTGTGGGGATCGTTTCAATTGGATGTTTATAGGGGTTTACGAACCTAATTCTGACGAGGCTAGAAGGGGCTTGTGGGATGAGTTGTCTAGTATGATGGCTTGGTGGAATCTCCCAACTTGCATTGGGGGCGATTTTAATGTGGTTCGTTTTCCTTCAGAAAGGTCGAGTGGTGGGAGACTTACTGGGGCTATGGAGGAATTTTCAGATTTTATTAGGGAGAACATGTTGGTCGATTTGCCTATGCGTGGGGGGAACTTTACTTGGTCATCAAATAGGGACCAACCTGTTCTCTCCCGCATTGATCGATTTTTGGTTTGTGGGGAGTGGGAGGCTAAGTACTCAGATGTCACTCAGAGCCGATTGGGGAGGGTGTACTCTGATCATTTCCCTATCTTGTTATCCGGGAATAATAGGGGTGGTGGGCTTAGGCCTTTTAGGTTTGAAAAGATGTGGTTAAAAATTGAAGGGTTTGGGGAACGAGTACGGACTTGGTGGGCATCTTATGATTTCTGGGGATCTCCCAGTTTTGTGCTGGATCAGAAGTTGAGGGCGTTGAAAATGGATCTTAAGAGATGGAATGAGGAGGTGGTGGGAAATGTGAACTTTCGTAAAACTCAATGCCTTTCGGACATTGAAGAGCTTGACAAACTTGAGGAGAGTCGAGGGTTGGATGGGGAGGCGAAGGAGAGACGAGGTGTTTTAAGGAAAGAGCTTGTCAGATTAGTAGAGATGGAGGAGATTGCTTAGCGCCAGAAATCTAGGGTCTTGTGGTTGAAAGAGGGGGACAAATGTACCAAGTTCTTTCACATGGTGGCCACTTCTAATAGGCGAAACAATTCAATCACAACGTTGGAAGTCGATGGGGTTACTTATGAGGATCCGCAGGATATTGGGACCCACATGGTGAGATTCTATCAGAATTTGTATCGGGAGGAGTCTGAGTGGAGGCCAGAGTTGGGGGGTTTGGAGTTTTCTACTATTTCGGAGGAGGAGGCCGTTTGGTTGGAGAGACCATTTGGGGAGGATGAAATAAAGGAGGTGGTGTTTAGTATGAATGATGATAAGGCTCCAGGACCAGACGGGTTTTCCTTCTCTTTTTACAAGGTGTGTTGGGAGGTGTTGCGACAGGATATTTTCGATGTTTTTACGTATTTTTTTGAGCGTGGTAGGTTTTTGAAAAGTTCTAACGCAACATTTATTGTGCTGATTCCGAAGAAACCAGGAGCGACTGATATTAAGGATTTTCGCCCTATCAGCTTAGTCAGTGGAATGTATAAGATTATCGCGAAAGTCCTGGCAAATAGACTCAAGGAGGTGCTAGGGAAAGTGGTGTCTAAGTTTCAGAACGCCTTTGTCAAGGGTCGTCAGATTTTGGATTCTGTACTTATTGCAAATGAATGCATTGACTCGAGACTTTGCCTAGGGGTTCCAGGGATGCTTTGCAAACTTGATATCCAAAAGGCTTATGATCACGTGAACTGGGGGTTCCTTCTGTATATGCTTAGGCATTGCGGTTTTGGGGATAAGTGGTGTAAGTGGATTCGATTCTGTATCTCTACTGTTTCATTCTCAGTCCTAGTCAACGGCACCTCCGAAGGTTTTTTTCGGAGTAGCAGAGGCTCGAGGCAAGGGGATCCATTGTCTCCATTGTTGTTTGTGATTGTCATGGAGGCCCTCAGTAGGATGCTTGAGAAAGCGAGACGAGAGAATTTGATTAAGGGATTTACGGTTGATGGAATGCAGGTGACCCACTTGTTATTTGCTAATGACACTGATTCTATGTGACGCAGATGAGGAGCAATTCAGGAACTTATGTCGGTTGCTCCTTTGTTTTGAAGCAGTATCTGGATTGAAGATTAATCTGGGGAAATCGGAGGTTATTCCAGTGGGGGAGGCCAATAATGTGGAGGAACTTGCTGTTATCTTGGGTTGTAGGGTCGCACAGTTACCCATGTCATATCTTGGGCTCCCTCTAGGGGCTCGATTTAAAAGTACTCATATCTGGGATGCTATTGTGGAAAAGGTGGAGAGGAGGTTAGCGGGGTGGAAGCGTATGTATCTCTCGAAAGGTGGCCGTCTTACTCTCATTAAATCTACTCTTTCAAATATCCCTACCTATTTTTTGTCACTATTTCCTGTTCCCGTGGCAGTGGCTAATAGATTAGAGAGAATTCAAAGGGAATTTCTTTGGGCTGGGTTGGGAGAGGAGAGGAAACTTCATCTGGTTAATTGGGGAATTGTTTGTTCTCCTATAAGGATGGGGGGCCTCGGATTGAGAAGACTTACTTTGTTTAACAAGGCATTGTTGGGCAAATGGCTGTGGCGGTTTGGAGTAGAGAGGGAGAGTTTCTGGAGAGAAATCATTGGGGCGAAGTATGGTGTGATGGAAGGGGGTTGGTGTTCGGGTGAGGGTCGTGGCTCGTACGGGGTGAGTTTGTGGAGGTATATTCGACGTGGTTGGAGTGACTTTCAGGATAGATTGATGTTTGCGGTGGGTAATGGGAATAATATCAGATTCTGGGAGGATTGTTGGTGTGGAGATAGACCGCTTAAGGTGGGGTTCCCTTCTTTACATCGCATTACTATGGTGCCTTCTGCTATGGTGAATGACGTTTTAACCAGCCACAATGAGAGTTATATTTGGAATATTACATTTCAGAGAGGCTTGCAGGATTGGGAATTGGACGATTATGCACTATTTTTATCTTGTTTGTATGAGACACGTATTCGGGTTGGAGAGGTTGATCGTAGCAGATGGAGGGTGGCACGGAATGGTATATTTTCAGTTCGCTCTTATTTTAAGTCCCTTGTGGGACCTGTGGAGCAGTCGTTCCCCTGGAAGATGGTGTGGCATTGTAAACTACCTCCACGGGTGGCTTTTTTGTTGTGGACGGTGGTGAGGGGTAAGACATTAACGTAGGATAACCTACGAAGAAAGGATTTTTGTGTTACCGAGTATTGCTATATGTGTAGGAGTGACGGGGAGACGCATGACCACTTATTCATTCACTGTGATGGAGTTCGTTGGCTGTGGAACGGTATTCTGGCTTCTCAACATATAGATTGGGTGTTGCCTAGACGTATTGAGGATGTGTTGCGGGCATGGAGGAGAAAGCTTCGTGATAAGGATAGCAAGCTTGTTTGGAACCTTATCCCAAGATGCATTGTTTGGTGTGTGTGGAGAGAAATGAACAACCGATGTTTTGAAGACCAAACACGGACCACTGAGCAATTTAGAGAATTACTTTTTCTGACTTTGTACACTTGGTTTAATGCCGCGGCTAGTAATCCTATTGAGGGGCTGCATAACTTCATGTCGTTCCTTTCGTGTTTATTTTGATTATACACTTCCCGTGTATTTTTCGTTGATTAATAAAATATTGAGATTAACTATAAAAAAAATATATATTTTCATGCAATTGCCAAAATGTTCTGATTGTTGTAAAATTTAAAGTTCAATCTTAATAACTTTCGATGGAATAAGATTCTACTATATCCTCATATTTATGAAGTTCAACATGTATGTAATCCTTGCAAACCTGAAGAAGTTTGTTAGTATTTTGGTATGCTCATCCAGACTGTCTTTTCCTTTCATGCCCTTGCATTGAAATATATTGGTGGCATAAAATTTTATCTGGTAGCTACTTCCCTTACTTTTTTTCACTCTGGAAGAACATATGTTGAAGGCAATATTTAATTGATATAAATCCACCATCTAATAACTTAGAATATTGCTATGTGTACATAGTAATACACATAAGGGTGTACATAATGTGAGAGGGGTGGGCCCCCCTCTCACATTATGTACACCCCTATGTACCATGCTATGTACACATAGCATGGTCCAATAACTTAATATTTTAGATCAAATTGTTCAACATGGTACCAAAGCAGGCAGAGGACATGTTAGGTTTTGATGGGAATAATGAATCTCCACTAACATGTGAGGGGCTTGTTGAAGAAATATTTAAATAATTTTCATGTGGCCCTATCTAATAGCTTAACAGTTTAAATCAATTGGTTGAACAACATACAATTCTAATCTTTGGATATTGCTAGTCTCTGAGTAGAAGGTGAAATGGTTGTTTTTGATAAGATGTGAAGTTCAGTGTTATTAGAAGCTTTAGGGTGGCTGTTGTCTTATATTTCGTGTTTTACAGTTACATGCAACTAGATCTTGGCCATCTACGTGTCAGAAATGAATTCAGTTGGCATGGATGTTCTGAGAAAGATCCTTCTGCTGTTCATCTTGATGTTCTTGATGCAGAGGTATTGAGTCTTGTTATTTATAGTTTATAAGTGAGGTTTAAACTTAACTACTCTGATGCTGGCTGCACATATGCAGATTTTGGGAATCAACATGGCAGTAGGAATTAATGGCTCTATTGGAAAACCAATGATACAGGAAGGCAGAGAAATTCATGTTTATGTTAGGCGCAGTTTAAGAGATATCTTCCGTAAAGTCCCAACATTTGCTCTGGAAGTGAAGGTATTTTTTTGTGATGTGGAATCTTCTCATGTCTTGTAGTTCTTTTTCCTGTGTCAATGGATCTTTCTTAGGAACTCTCTGATTAGTCTTGCTCCTTTTTACATTTTCTCTTCGTCATCTCCTGATATGGTAATCGAAATATAATGCGCAATAGGGGGATTTTTGCACTTTGGTCCAGCTGTTATCTTTCACATGAGAGTAAGCAAAATGACATTGAAGCCATGTGAAATTTTTGGTCTGTAAATTAATTCTTAGGCAACAAATTTAAACATGAATGTAGAAGTTTGGCTGGTGACTTGGCTCTGTTTTTGGGTTGTGGACATCATATTTCTGTGCTGCTGTAAGTTTGAGTTACTTTATTTTTTAAATGATCGACTATATCTTTCTGTGAATGTGTTATCTGACATGCTTTTTCCAAGAAAATGGGCACCAAGGTGATGCTCTAGTTACTTTTCCCTATCTGGATTTAATTAAGGGTTGTGAATTCCATTGCTTGCCCTGAGTAGTTTGTTGTTTCTAGACATGACTTCCTCACAATTTACAAAATTAAACGCTTCTTAATTAATTGCTAAGTTTGTACTTCTTATTTGGTAAAAACTGCATCTAGAATCAGATGGTGCAGACATCCAGTTTCAATCTTAGTGTGGGTAACTATAAATGAACTACGATTTTTAATATGGGGATAAGGCGGATTAAGTGGGAACGTTGCTTGGAGCGGAGGATTGAAAATCCTTGTGTCAATGGTTTAAATCTGCTTAATTTGGATATTTAAGTGAATGAGCGAATCAAAAAATTGTGGGCACAGCAAATGAGGTTGGAACCTCATTGCTTTTTTCCAAATACCTTATATATATATTTTTATAGTAGCTGACAACCTGTATGTTGTGCATTCATTTCCTAATATTGTTTGTGCTACTTCTAATATTGTTTGTGCTACTTTGTTTATTTTTTTGGTAACAGGTGGGCTTATTGCATGCTGTGATGTCAGACAAGGAATATAATGTTATTCTTGATTGTTTCTACATGAATTTGTGCGAACAGCCAAGTCTTCCTCCTAGTTTTCGCAGCAGCAAGAGTACTACAAAAGATACAATAAGACTGCTTGCGGATAAGGTAAACATGAATAGCCAGGTCCTTTTGTCGCGTACAGTTACTATAATGGCTGTTGAGGTTGACTATGCAGTGCTAGAGCTTTGCAATGGGGCTGATGAGGAATCACCTTTAGCTCATGTTGTTGTGAGTATATCTTCTATGTACATGCATCTGTGTTTGTCCTTTTATTGCTTGTTTTAGTCTTACTTTGCTTTCTGTTGTCTCAGCTTGAAGGTCTTTGGGTGTCATATCGGATGACATCATTTTCAGAAGCAGACCTCTACATTACAATCCCCAAGTTTTCTATTCTAGACATTCGTCCCAATACAAAGCCTGAAATGCACCTGATGCTTGGTTCCTGTGCCGATGCCCCAAAACAGATTTTTCCTGAACTAAATGTTGATTTACCAAACTCAACAATGTTTTTGATGGACAGCAGATGGAGACCGTCGTCCCAGTCGTTTGTAGTTCGGATTCAGCAGCCTCGGGTTCTTGTTGTTCCTGATTTTCTTCTCACTGTCTGTGAGTTTTTTGTGCCAGCTTTAGGAACCATAACAGGCAGAGATGAGATGATGGATCCCAAGAATGATCCAATTTCTAAGAACAACAGCATAGTTCTTTCTGGCCCTTTTTACAAACAGATGGAAGATATAGTGCAATTATCCCCAAGTCGACAGTTAGTAGCAGATGCTGTAGGCATTGATGAATATTTATATGATGGTTGTGGTAAGACAATTCGTCTTACTGATGAGAAGGAAATGAAGGAGTTCCATTCAACCGGAACTCTTCCCATCATTATCATTGGTCGGGGTAAGAGGCTGAGATTTGTAAATGTGAAAATTGAGGTACTGACATCTCTTTCTTGTATTTTCATTATCATTGTTTGTGATGTAGGACTTTTAATGTGTGAAACGACATAAACCAAGTTCTTGTAAATGCCGTGTGAAAAAAAAAAAAAACTCAGGAAGTTCGTCCAATTGGAAGTGCTTCAAGGGGGTCATTTTCTGATTTTTTTCGTAGTCACTTTATTTGGTATTGCTGAAGCAACCGTCTTTCATCTTTTATGACTTCTGCATTCTTTCCTGGGTCTTGTTATTTGATTCCACCCATTTTGGACAGGTTTGTTCCATCTTGAGATATATAAAAAAATGTATTGGTTTATGCTTGATCCGTTGATGTAGATTTTATATCTGTATATTTTGTTCTTTTTTGTGTCCGTTTGTGAATATTTGCTTCAAACGTGATACATACACTTGATGATGTAGGACAATTCTTTTATAAGTAGGATAGAAGTCAGTTGTTACTATAGTAAGATTTTTGTTCCCTTTTAGGATTTTAGTTTTCTTTCCTTTTAGTAACATTGTTTAGTTTCCTTACATTGGTAAGATTTAGGTATATAAAAAATGGCTTCGTACACTTTCCATTCACCAATTCAATACAATAAATTATTCTCTACAATTTTCGAGTCTTTCAATTTTCTTATTTCGATCCTTTCAATTTCACTTCGCACCGAAATTGTTATTTGAGCAAGGTTTTGCCCTTAGCTGATGGCCTCCTATGGTGGTAGTGGCATGCATCCTTGGGACAATGTTCAGAGGATTGCAAAACATCCAACCTCGATCTAAACTCTAGAACGAAAGAGGGATAGGTTCAAAGATGATGTTGATAAAATTTGCAGACTTTGACTGCTACAAGTGTTGGTACTTGGTCACTTGAACGAGCTTAGAACACGAAAATAGGTGGCTAGAGAATTTCCTTGAGTCCAAGCTATGATAGAAATACACCAAGTACAAAGTTGCAGCTAAATCAATATTGCAAGCTAAAATTGTTGAATGAAGATAAATAGTTATGGTGCGTCTTCGTAAAAACAGGTTTCCAGTTGGAACTTATTGTAAACTAAACGATTAGAAGATTGGTCCGTTTCGCATATTGAAGAAAATTGGAGACAATGCCTATAAGATTGATTACCTGCTCTATTTGTCCTATTATGTGACATAGAACACAATTGAAGAAGAATCAGATTGAGAAAGAGGAAGAGAGAAGAGAGGGAGGAGGAGGGAATAGTCAGAATTTAGAGGGTAAAATATCAAATTTATTCAATATCAAAGTGTAATTATTACAATGCATAAGCCTCCTTTAAACTAGTCTAATTTAAGTAGGAAAATACTAGAAAATATATTAAGCCCCTGTTTGGTGCACATTTTTGCACCAAGAATGCATTTTTTGTTTTGATGTGATGGGGAATATTTGGTTGAAAAAGAAGGAAAAATTATTGATGTGATAGAAAATATTATTTTATTGAAGAATGCGTGGTTGAAAATGAATAGAAGAATGATAATGTAAAAAATAATGTGGCTCAAACAAGGGTTAAATCAAATTCTAATTATGTTTTCTAAAATAAGTATCCAAATTGGAAAGTAAACAACTAATAAAATATTAGAAAATCTGTTAAATAAAACCCTAATACATTTCCTAAAATAAGTATCTCATTTGAAAGTTTATTTAAATAATGTCTCTACTAGGATTCCCATCACTATGCCTCCTGATAAATATGCTATCTATCTAATAGATCTCAGCTAGCTGGGATGCCTTTCACTATTTAGATTGTTGATATAATTTGTTGTCCCTTCCACCTTCTATAATCTAAGCAAATGTACTAGTAAATCTCTTATATAAAAGAAATTTGCTTCTACTATTTGCTGATGAAATGGCAAAACAAGAAAATAACATAGATGATTGGAATAGAACATGTCTAGACCAGGACAAAATGAAAATTACTTAGAAACTATTTAGTACAAATTGCATATACCGGCCATTGCACTCCTGTTTAAATATCCATGGTAATTAAAACATTACAAGTTAATAGAAAATTAGTTCAACAACTTAAATTTACTAGAGTAAAAAAGATTATTAAGAATTTAGTGTAGTTAATTATCTTTTCGTGTCCTTTGTCAGCTGAGTTTTGGCATGAGTAAAGTTTTGTGCATGCTACAATGATCTAATCATTAAAAACATTGCAAGGCGTAATATGTATTAGTGTTTTTGATGCAAACTGTGACATTCAAATGCAATAACATACAGTAAATTATATGTTTTACATTTCTTTTTCTAGTTTTTGGTAAAAGGAAAACTGACTACCGTGTGGAGAATTACTTCTCGGATACATATTGATCTAAGGATTTATACTATGAATTACAGTTAGATACTATGATAGATAACTAGGCAATATGTCTGGTGACATTTTGAGTTAATAGGAAAAATCTTAGATTTGTATGTACTCTTTGATTCCTACCTGTATGTTGTGTTTTTCCTTGTAGGATGGTCCTAGTTGAAATCAGAAATCTCATGCTTAACCTTTAGTTAGTGGCGCTACACAAAACTAGTATGGAAGAACCTGTCTTGCGGAAACTAGGAAGATCATGCCATCCGCAAAGTATTATTATATTTCGCATGTCATCATTGTGCTCTTTCATTAAAGTAGGACTTGTTTTAGTGAGTGTTAAAACGCATGACACTGTGATAAGATAAGAGTTGTTTTTTCTTGCTACCTCACATTTTTGTCTCTTTTGTGTGTTGATATTTTATGTGATATAGAGGGTAAGGAGTGAGGACATTTCAGCATTAATTCTCCATTAGTGCTCTCACTTTGGGTAGAGATATTTTTCTTTATTCCGATTTAGCTAGCTTTAGCATCTGATGAATTGTGGATGTATCATGGCACCTATGCACGGAGATTTGAAGCAATCTTTTCACCATATTTCTTCTTTCTCAGATTATTTCTCAATCATGTGCGATTTTCTAGCTTCTACTTGTAATCCTTTTTTCTTTATTTGAAGAATTATTGGAGTATTCATTAAGTGATAATCTGGTATCAAATCCTGTTATGATTCTTCTTCTTTTACGTAACATTGAAATTTATTTTACTTCCATGAGAAACAGTGGAATGTGGATGCTTATAATTGATTTGATAATTAACTCTTCTTTCTTGCTTCTACAAATGACTTTGATTCTTATGTTTCGCATTTGTCAGAATGGTTCTCTATTGAAGAAATATGCATATTTGAGCAACGATAGTTCCTATTCGGTTTCCCAAGAAGATGGAGTCCAAGTATCTTTTCTGGATGATGATTCTGCATATAGAGACAGCAAAAACCCAGATCATTTGGAAGAAGCGTCACATACCTCACATGCTTCCGACTCTGCGGAAAGTGAATCATGCAAAATGCATTTTAGTTTTGAAGCTCAGGTAGGTTATTCTCTAGTTTTAAAAGTTAAAAAATTAACAGCCCTATCGGAAAAATAAACAATTGTCTCATGAAAAATATTGTCTTTTACCAGAGATGTTGCCTATATCATATACTTATGCTCATTGTTTCCAACATTAAGGGGGTGTTTGAGCTACATTATTTTGAAGGAATGTATTTTAGAATAGTAGATTGATGGAGAATGTGTGATTGAAAAAGAAGGAAAAATTATTGATGTGATGGAAAATAATATTTTATTGAAGTTAGGGGCGGAGGTGGGGGGGTCCTGGGGGGGACCTGGACCCCCCCAATTTTTTAAAATTTTTTTTATTTTTTATTTTTTTTATGTTTTGGGCTCAATTTTTTTTTTAGTTATCTTCTAACTAATCCAGAATTTATAGGATTACAAGGCCTTTGTGAACTTGTACAAAAGTTGGTTGCGACAAAAAAACATGAAGCATACCCGTTATTATACAAGCTTTTGACATTCGCATTAATTTCTCAAAGTATGAGAACTCGAAAGGAACACTTGTAATAAAATATGATTTTGCTAAATTAAAGATTAGTACTTTCTTTTATACGTTTCTTGATTTTTTTGTTAAGTTTTCGTACATTAATTTATGTTCCGTTGTTTCCTTTCTCTATCACAAAATATCAACTTTCCTCATTTTAACACATAATGTTTCAAAAAAAATTCGGGGGCAGCAACTTTCCTCATTTTAATACATAATGTTTCAAAAAAAAAATTCGGCGGCGCTGCCCCTGAACCCCCACCCCTTCAACTCCGGGACCCCCTTAGTTCAACTGGCTGGCTCCGCCCCTGATTGAAGAATGTGTGGTTAAAAATGAATAGAAGAATGAAAATGAAAATTTTAATATGGCTCAAACAGGAGCTAAGTACTAGTCTGGTAAGTCACTATCAATAACTGGACAACAACCTAACAAATTGACAGTATAAAATATATTTATAAACTTATAGAATTTTTCCCGCACCTTTTTCTATCCTCTGTTTGTGTATCTCCAATTTTCTGATTGGTTTCTGGACATTGAACTTTTCATTGGGTTTATACTGTAAGCAGGCTGGCTCGAATTTATCACAGTAGACTTATTAATATCTTTTCATAAAAACATATAGCTTTGAGAATCCTTGGGTTAATTGGAGCACTATTTTGACAAATTCACATTTTGTGTGTTGGTCTATATAAAATCTATGCACGTTGTAAAACTCGGAAAACAGTTGATGCGTAATGTATTGTAATCTTTGAAACCTTGAATGTGATCAATTTAATCGAATGTTATGCATGATCCTTAATTGTTGATTTTTTAATCAATTTGTAATCTTACTCGAGCCATTTTTACTCTTATCAGGTTGTTTCCCCTGAATTCACTTTCTATGACAGTAGCAAGTCATTGCTAGATGATTCCACTCTTGGTGAAAATCTTCTACGTGCAAAAATGGATTTTAGCTTCATGTAAGTCTTGACTCCTTCATATGTAATTCTATTTAGTTGTCCTTTACTTTTGACGAGGTGGAGTTCTTCCTACATGTAATTTATGAGGTTTTAGTACTGAAATATAGTTGTTTTGTTTCTAAGATAGATTTTTCACGATTCGTCTTTGCATGTTAATGTAAGATGATATTTAGTTTGCATTGTACTAATTACAGCGCATTTCCATCTATTTTGGCACTTTCGATGAATGAATATTTCTTTATGTTAAAGATGAAGTATTGAAAAATTGCTGTAATGCTCTACTACTATCAGTACTAAAAAAAATTAGACATTCCATATTTTTTAGCTCATTTTTTTTAGAACACAAATTTTAAAGTATCATTTATTATATGGACTTTGGTTTTTTTCAATAGGTATGCATCAAAAGAAGATGATAGATGGATTCGGGGTCTTCTCAAGGATCTAACAGTTGAGGCTGGTTCTGGTCTCGTTGTTCTTGATCCGGTGGACATCTCTGGAGGATATACTTCTGTGAAAGATAAAACAAACATATCGCTTGTGTCTACAGATATATATGCTCATCTCTCCTTGGGTGTTATTTCCCTTTTACTTAACCTCCAGAGTCAGCTCTCCACCGCATTGCAATTTGGAAATGCTGACCCTTTGTCCCCCTGTATAAATTTTGATCGAGTTTGGGTGTCTCCAAAAGGTATTTGTATTGTCTTATTTGAGTTTCTACACTCTTTAAATAGGAGGTTTCCTCTCCCTGCCAAACCAGCCACACTACTATCACTTTTGAGCTAATTCTTCTCCTACCATAATTAATGCCATATTTAATTCATGTATTGTCTGTTGTTAGAAAATGGGCGTCTTAGCAATCTGACATTTTGGAGGCCTCGAGCTCCATCTAACTATGTTATTCTGGGAGACTGTGTAACATCAAGGTAATGAGATGAATTCCTATTTGAATATGCTCGTCTTATTCCATGTTGTTGTTTTGCATAAAATTTGTTCACACTTCTAGGTATTAAAATCCTAGTCAGTATATTTTTTATTGTTTTATTGGAGTCCTAAGATTGAATGTCGTTTTTATGATAATTGCGAGGGTACTGTCTGATATCTGTTGCTGAAACTTTATTTTTGGGCAAGAGAGGTTCTATGTGAAATTATAATGTTTCATTTGTAGAGGATGTGGTTCTAATAATCATAGAATCGAATGCTGATTGGATGTAACCAGTGAAAGAAATAACTTGTCAACTTTTTCCTTTTTAATTTACTAATTTCATGCGTCAAGTTCCATTCCTTTATTATTCTGAATGGAAACATTTTTGGCAAAGATTTTATATAGTTATTTTACGATGCTCCTTTTATTTGTTAAATACAATTTCTTACATTTCATCTTTTCTACTTAATTGGACTTTTGACAAGTCAGTTGTATAAAATTAGGTCTACTGTCATTACTGTAAGCATGAATGTGGTTTCATCATCTGGAAAAGTGTGTGCTTTATATAAATATTTTAACAATTTCCATACATGAAAGAATATTTTTCTGAAACATTATCTTGTTTTTCTCACCTGCACGTGGTATCTAAAAGCTGTTGTTCTTGTCTTTTTCTTGCTGATTTGATGTTTGTGTTAATTGCTTTGATTTTTGCACATGATCAGGCCAAATCCTCCTTCACAAGCAGTACTGGCAGTGGGCAACACATATGGCCGCGTACGCAAGCCTCTTGGTTTTAAGCTCATAGGATTGTTTTCTGGTATTCAAGGACTGCAGGGTGGCGAAGGCCATTCTGATGTTGATTGTGACTGTTCTCTTTGGTTACCTGTTGCACCGCCCGGATACTTGGCGCTCGGGTGTGTTGCACATGTAGGAAGTCAACCACCTCCAAATCACATCGTTCACTGTGTTAGGTCTGATCTGGTGACTTCAACAGCATATCTAGAATGCATAGTCAATGCTTCCACGAATTCTTCATTTGAATCGGGATTTAGCATTTGGCGTTTGGATAACTGCATTGGGTCATTTTATGCCCATCCATTTGATGGCTTCCCTCCCAAAGACAGTTGTTTTGATCTAAATCATCTTCTTCTTTGGAACTCCGGTCAGCATAAGTCTTCCTCAAAAGAGTCTTCCTTGAATTCTATTGCTGAACAGGAACATGCATGTCAGCAGACGAGTAGCCAGGGTGCTACCTCGTCTGGTTGGGATATTTTAAGATCAATTTCTAAAGCAACTACACATTATATGCCAACTCCAAACTTTGAGAGAATATGGTGGGACAGAGGTGGTGATCTTCGCCAACCAGTCTCCATATGGAGACCTATACCTCGCCCTGGATATGCTATACTCGGTGACTGCATAACTGAAGGGTTGGAATTTCTTCTACATTATCTTCTTTATACTTATCTAACACTTTCAATTGTCTTTATAGTTTCTTATACTTCTCTGTGTTACTATTGCTTCCTCAGCTTAGAACCCCCTTCTCTGGGCATAATATTTGAGGCTGGCAACCCTGAAATTTCTGCAATACCTGTGCAATTTACTAAAGTTGCTCATATTGGGGGGAAAGGCCTCGATGAATCTTTCTTCTGGTATCCCATTGCTCCTCCTGGTTATGCTTCTTTGGGATGTGTAGTAACCAGATATGATGAAGCACCTCCTTTGGAATCATTTTGCTGCCCAAGGATGGATCTAGTTAGCCAAGCTAACATTCCGGAGCTGCCCATGTCAAGATCTTCGAGCTCAAAGTCATCTCAGTGCTGGAGTATTTGGAAAGTAGAGAATCAGGTTAAATTACCACGATAAACTTGAATACATGATATTGAGTTGTAAACCACTGAGCATTGGGCACTCTACAGTACCTTTGAAAAATGAAAAGTTGATAAGTTCATTTCCTTGTTCCCTTAATTCACTAACTTGTCTATATAGGCTTGCACATTCCTTGCTCGCTCTGACCTGAAAAAGCCGTCAAGCCGGTTGGCGTTTGCTATTGGTGATTCAATGAAGCCAAAGACAAGGGACAACATAACAGCCGAGATGAAAATAAGATGCTTCTCTTTGACTGTTTTAGACAGCTTGCGTGGAATGGTTTACTCCTTAAAAAATTATTTCTCATTACCTTGTTCAATAATTTTCTCATTCTGATTTTACTATCTGATTCTTGGTTGTATTTTCCCCAGATGACACCACTTTTTGATGCCACAATTACTAATATCAAGCTTGCAACCCATGGTCGATCAGAGGCAATGAATGCTGTACTGATTTCTTCAATTGCTGCATCAACTTTCAACTTGCAATTAGAAGCTTGGGAGCCACTTGTGGAACCATTTGATGGAATATTTAAGTAATAATTCTGTGTTTCTACCCCCTTCATTTTCATGTAATGTCAAATATTTGGCAATAGACTGCTCTAAATAATTATCCTTCTGCATTTAAAGGTATGAAACATATGATACTAATTTACATCAACCATCGGGAATTGGAAAAAGAATGCGTATTGCCGCTACCAGTATTCTAAATGTAAATCTGAGTGCAGCAAATCTCGATACCTTAGAACAAACAATTGATTCATGGAAAAGGCAGAGAGAACTCGAAGAGAAAGCAATCAGACTTATTGAGGTCATATTAAGTTTATTGCTACTGTTATTATTTTCTTTGTGTTACATGCTCTTTGGGTTTTTATTCTTGTGGTTGCTGCCTCTTACCTTTTATTATCTTCCACAGGAATCTGCTGGTTCCAAGGCACATGGGGACAATTCATTTTTGGCATTGGATGAAGATGATTTTCAGACTGTTATAATAGAAAATAAACTTGGGTGTGATATATACCTAAAAAAAAATGATAACAACTTAGACGAAGTTGAATTATTACATCATGACGATTCAACATGTGTCTCGGTTCCACCTCCACGATATTCTGATCGATTAAATATCGCAGATGAATCAAGAGAACCTCGTTGTTATGTAGCCATTCAAATAGTTGAAGCCAAGGTCCTAATTTTTAAATTTTCATTAGTTTCTGTTAATTTATTAATTTTTATCATTATATTTGTATATTCATATTTATTATATTATTATTTTGTACAGGGTTTACCTCTTGTCGACGATGGAAATAGTTTAAAATTTTTCTGTGCTTTGCGTCTGGTTGTAGAGAACCAGGAAGTTAATCAGCAAAAGCTTTTTCCTCAGAGTGCAAGAACAAAATGTGTTCAGCCATTAATTGTTAAAGTAGATGATTTGGACGAAGGCGTGGCCAAGTGGAATGAACTCTTCATCTTTGAAGTTCCTAGGAAGGTATGTAACAACTTGCTCACCAATGAACCAAATAGAAGAAAAACCCGAGTAAGAAAATGGAAAGAAAAAGATTTTATGGGAAGGGAACATGCTCCCGGACATCCTCATCGAGAGAAAATGGGTGGAATGGAGAGGCTAGCCTCATGTACACATCCACACACAGACACAGTGAGGGAGGGACCATCTCCTTTTTAGTTGTAGATGTGCATGTAACGATAGTAGGTAATTCTAAAATGTTTTTTAGAATGTGCATGGACAATGTTTTTTTCAAATTGTCCTCAAAAAAGTACTTGCAAAACTGAGCTGGATTGGGTTTAGTTTTAGAAATTCTTGCAAAAAAAAAAGTGAAAAATATATTTTTTTGAAGGAAGCAATCTAAATTATGTATAACAACTCTATTAATGTCAATATTAAAATTCACCTCAAAACTCAAGGATATTGTGTTCTAATTTTTATCGATATTGGTATTCTGAAATGGTTATTTGACATATGAAACGTTGTTTCATTTAATATTTTTGGTTTGTACCATGTAGTTGAGTAGTTCAAACTAGGGATCACTTGTGTGAAATGTAAATGGGTAACAGTTCTCAGGACTCCTATCATCCTTTCAACTTGTCTGTATTGCAATCAACCAATCTGTAGACTGGCTAATATTCTGTTCAAATTGTTATGGACAGCGATGCGTTATGATACTTATGTTTTGTCTTACACAAGTTTTGTACATGTATTCACTGCAGGGGGTGGCTAAGTTGGAGGTGGAAGTAACTAACCTTGCAGCAAAAGCTGGAAAAGGTACCTGCCACTTGGCACAGCAGCTTGAAAATCATTATTTAGTTTTGACTGTTCATTTTACATGTAGTCATTACTGATGCAATTACCTGTTAAACAACTAGGATGTATGCAGTGTAAATAACTGGGTTGATATTTCCATTTCGGAACACCAAAACTAGATAAGAGTAATTGATAACTGATTGCTTCCAGATATTGTTCATGTAGCATTTAATGACTTAACTATATCTGCAGAGTATATGATTGATGTTCTAGTAAAGTTTTATTTTTGTGGTTTGTCAAATATACTCAATAAAAGACTCGATGCCCCTCTATGTGAGAGATTCTCTCATTATATAGAAACCAAAATAACAACTAAATATGGTAGCAATCCATTACTATATTAATTAATGGTAAAAACAATCTATCTATAATAATCGTAATCTTCGACAAGCTCCGGAATCTTATCTATCAGGAACTGGCGATAGTGATAATATTTGTGTCCATGAAGTAGAAATCCAAATCAGAGCAACCATCTACGAAAATTAGTGACAACGAGAGACCAAGAATAACAAATAGTGCAGTAACCAACAAAGAACACTTCAAAAATACTATGAGAACTCACACTCCCCAAGAAAAATTTCCAAAAGAAATTCACGAAGTGTGCCGACACACACAGTGAATTCTATCTGTCGGGAGAACTTAGTCGAACACATAACTTGGGTTCCGACAAAAGTTCTAACGCCAAAACACCGGCCAAAACTCCAGATACTGCAGGTGGAAGAAATCCCACAAAACGACCTACATCAAAAACTCAAAGATGATCATCTTCTGAGAATTCAAAACTCTAGCTCATTACCCGAGCAATCAAAACCCAATGGTCTACAATCACCAAAAGTCAAAGGGTCTGCACTCCCATGTCTTTTTTTTTTTTTTTTTTTTTGGAGTAGCATCCTTTGCAAGCCCAAAGTAACAAACCCAAAATTCCATAACCTAAAACTGCAGCAAACCTTAAAAAAAAAAAAAACAACCAAAATAATAGCCCATTAC